TGAAGAATGACAGCTTCATGCACAAAGGTGCTGATGACATTCACAGCGCCTGCTGAAGTCAAGGGGCTGTCAGAGCTGCTGGGGCTCTGTCTGCTGGGGACATGGACTCCATGATTACCATTAGAGCCTTTGTTGCTGAATGTTACAGTTCCCACAAACTGGCCACTAATGCAGCATGCTGTAGGGCCAGCTTGGTGGCTAAGCCAGCTAGAGAAATTACAGAGCATCTTTTGTACTAGAACTGATTTAGAAACAGGTCATAAATTGAAATTACTGTGACTTTGAACTACTTAAGGAATTTACTAACATGACAAAACAAACAGAGCCAACAACTTAGCTTGTCAGGGCTTGATTTTCTACCAGCTTCAGGGAAAGTCTTCTAATTGGTCACCCCTCCTGACATTTTATGTTCACTTACCTTACCAGAAGACAGCAAGATGCAGAGTGTCCAGCAGATTTTAAATTTGCTGGGTGTAATATGATGGATTTATTTGTTCTCTTATCTTGGTTATTACCAGTAGCTATTTCAAAGGTCGCCATCTTAAACTCTGATCAGATGGCATCAACTTCCTCATTTTACTTCTTTTAGAAAACGTTTCAGAAAATATTCTCAACTCTGACTCCATCCAGCTATGTTGGTCTGTTTTCACTGACTTGGAATTCTGGTGCTTTAAGAGAAATTTCTTTGGATTTTTTACTCTGAATTTTATCAGATACCAAGAATCATGTCTGTGTGGCAAATCAAAAAGGATTTTTTATTGGGAAAAAAAAGGCAAGTTTAATACAGATATGATATAAATTACAAAAAATGTTTTAAAAATCACCTCTCCAGGATACCCAGATTAATTGAAGGTGGAGCCTCAGTGAAGCAAATAAAGTCTTTCTAAGATCATCTCTCATTTTAAAGTAGATCATAAAAATAGTCCAGGCCTTGTCCCAGTTCCCAGATGGATATTCCAGTGCCCAGTTCTTTTGCAAGCTCCAAGCGCAACTGGATGGACTAAGAGAAAGACAAGACACATAAAGCAATCATGTCTCAGTCAGAGATATCAGACACTCCATACTGCCATCTCTTCATGCCATTATCAGACCATTTAAAAACATCTACCCTTGAACCAGCTACTGAAAAACCTTGTCTGTATTTCAAATACTCTCTGGTTAGCAAGCAATCATTCAGTCAAAGACAGTTAATTGTACCAGTTAATTCAATGACCTAATAAAAGATTACCAGCTAAATTGACAAAATGCCACAGAAATAAATCAGATTTATGAACTATGCAAAGGACTATTCTAATTTAGCCTATCATTTCACAATGTACAGAAATTCTAACTCTTCCCAGAAATATCTCAGGGGTAAAATAAAACTTTATCACTGAAGACAATCAGAACGATTTGTCAAATACCATCAAGATCTCTTGCCTACCCTTGCCATATCCCAGGACAGAGTCACAATTTACATTACAAAAATTCTATTTTAAAGACATTCTTGGAGATAATAATTAAAAGCATCTCTATTTAAGTTCTAGCCATTGATTTAGATCAGTTAGTTTAGCCATGGGTTAACAAGGGAAGTAATGCCACAATTCATGTTCTGCCTTTTATTTCAATTCAAACAAAAATAATTATTTTTCAATCTTGCTCTCAGGTTTTTCTACCTTGAACTACAGTGATGCAGTGTTTAAACTGTTCATACTAGGGATGTGTTTAAAAATCATTTCCATGGGAAACAAGAAAAAGTATCACAGCATCATTAACAGATCCACTGGGCCTGGCATTCATGACTGCTTTAACTAGTCTTGAACAAACTAATTTTGAGCAACCTATCAGTGAGTATAACATTAAAAGGGGAAAGAAATGCATTTTTCATGAGGTAATAACATTCAGTGTTTACCAGCCATCTTGACCAGGAAACACATCTCAAACTATTACAAGAATGTTGAAAATGAAAAAAAAAAAAAAAAAAAAAAAAAAAAAAAAAAAAAAAAAAAAAAAAAAACACAACAAAAACATTTCCATGCATTCACCAATCACTACAGTTGGGTAGTGATCTGTTAGAGAAGAAATAATGAAAGAAATATACAGGAATGAGTTTTCTTAACTTGGTTAGTACTGACAATGGCAGGGTGAAATCCTTCCCTGAGGCTGAAGAAAACAGCGTAACAGCACAAGCTATCTTTTCTCTGATACATTCACAATGAAACTTTCTAACTCTCAGACAGGCAGCACTAGCAAGAACAGAGATGTGGTAGGTAATATCCCATATGTGATAGTACTTCCATCCATATTGGATTAATGAGGGGAAATATCCTTTTACTCATGGTGCTTAAGATAACAATCCAGGAAAACAGAGCTTTAGATAATTTCATACTAGTTTAATCATTAAAAAAAGTCTCTGGTCTCTGTAAACACAATGCAATTTCACTACAGAAGCGATTCCATTCCAATACTAAAAGCCAGCAGAGGTTTAATACGCTGGCCTTTTCAGTTCTTTTTCAGTTTAATTTGAGAAAGTCTAAAGATAATTTCCTATGAACTAAGGCTGTAATTAAGCGTTTTATTCTGCATTCTGCTCTACTGCAGACTATTATGTAGAAGTTTTCAAAACACTAAAGTATGTTCCACATACTGAAGTTCTGTTCCACAGAACTGAAGAAAACAGGGTGATGCAGGCTGACAGGGAGAAACAGGACCCTGTTACAAAGGAAGGCAAAAGTTCTCCAAGCTTCCAGCCACCACGATGAGAAGGAAAATTTCTTTTCTGGTATCTCATCTGAGAATCTGCTAACAACATCTGATAGTACATGAGCCGTGCACTTGAATAGATCCTCTACAGCACCGGTTTGTCCTGGTCTTATCTCCAGACATGCTTTATCTTCAGAGATCCCAAAACCCCATTATGCACGAGAGAAAAAACCAACCTTCTTGCAGCAGCTGCATCTTTGAATCATAACAATTTACATAACATTCACATGAGGGCAAACTTCTTTCACAAAAGCCAAAACCCAGTTCAACATTTTCTGAAATGTCTCAATAATGCAACAGGTCAAGTAAACATCTCTGTCCTCTTACAGCCCTCTGACCTGAGAAAGTGGCACCTACCTTCAGTGTTGGGTAGAAGACTGCATGTTTTCCTCCCTTTTTTCTGCAAAACAAGAAAACCAAATAGTCACAGTAGCTTTGATAGATAACAGGATTTTAAACTAAGGTTAAAATTCCAAAGCAGGTTTGTCCCTTCCAAACTTAACCATTCTGAGATTCTGTGATACTCTGAAAAGGCTGACAGTGAAAAGAGAAGATCCAAGAAGAGATCTCACAACAGAGATGGTTTGATACCGTAACATAGTAAACACTGAGATGTTTTGTTGCAACTGGATGACAAAACTGTCAGATTGTAACATGCAGTTGTGCCTGCTAAATGTGCATCTGAAAAAGATGAAAACGTTTGGTTTTCTGATGCAAACTGTGAAATATTTTCTCCAATTCTCTGAATTATTATCTTTAAGGCTAAATTAACTGCCAGCAGTATAAAATATACAGACAGGACAAGCTATATTGAGCACAAATACCAAGGTGGCATTTTAAACCCCTAGTAATGAGAAGGATGAGTTACAAGGGGTCCCACAGCACCACATTACCACTTAGGCCAGGAGAAAAAGTAGAATGCATGGGCAGACCAAGAAGGAATTGCTCCTAAAGTCTCACAACTTATATAAGTGAATACTTGCCTGTGCACTGGGACAAGCAGTCAGATTTCTGCAACTATTTGTAACAGACAGTCTCTGCCTGTTGAAATCATTAGCTGTGCTTTGCTTAAAGATTCATGATTTCATTTCTCAGCCACTGCAGATGTGCAAGATTTCCAGGTGAGAGGCTTCACCAGGGAAGCATACATATTTCAGGCCTGGCTGCCATCCCTGTCCAAGATAATTGAACCTTTGCAAAACAAAGTGGTAACTGAAAAAGAGTTCCTTAAATAACCCTCCCCTGCAGCCAGCTGAACCACACAGCTGACTGCCAAGCACAGCATAAGTAAAGTTTAGAGTGATTTTTAGACAGAGTGGGCTTCATGCATCAAAAATTCCTCCAGGAAGCCCCACACAAAAACCTCCAAAGGCTGGCTTCAAAAGAAAGGGGAAGTGCTACTGGCAAGCTATCCCTCTGCCACAAGTTCATTTTGCCATGTAAGAAATGTGATTTGGACATGAATCCCAGAAGCGTGCCACTCAAACAGAGTCCTCAGAGTTACACTTTTGAGAGCAAGCTTTCATCTAGTGTTCACTGTGTCTCCAAAAGGGTTGGACATTAAAGATCATTAAAACAGAGCTTATGATTTATTCCTTTTTAGTTAACACAAAAATCTGTAATTGCTTGGTAGAAAGTAATTTTGCAACAGGACACCAAATAATTAAAAATGAAAGCATACAGATCCCAATCCTTTTGTACAATCACAGAAAACAAATCTAAACACTGGTGAACGGATTTTTTTTCCCTGATAAATAAAAGTCAAAAGAAAATTACAGACTGAGAAATACCTTGAAAATTAAACTAAAAATACAAAGGTAGGTGATTTGTAGGTTTAGGTTTGGTTTTTGTTTATTGGTTGGGTGGGTTTTTTTAAGTAATTAAAAATATTTCAGACAAGGTTGTTTTGGAAATAAAAAGTTTTGATTGTTTTTATTAAAAGCTTCTAAAATGTGTTTTGCTCTTCCTTTCAGTGGTTTATCTTCACATTAACAATGCATTGAGTAAAATAAAAGACACAGCTTTGCAGGAGTAGTAGGATTTGTTTGTATCATTTTGCATATTTTGATATATTTGCATAAAAATAGCCAATTATCATAGGAGTAATAAGATGTTGCTGGTTTCATTTAAATCTATTTTAAATAGATTCTTCTAGATCAGGAATCCTCTTGTCATTTCATGATGAACAAGGGAGGACAAAGAATATTATTACCCTTAATGTTCTCAGTTCTTTCAAAAACTTTATCTGGAAGTCATTTAGTTTTACATCTATTACATTTCTTTACAGTCTATTCCATCTAGTGGAAGTTCTTCACTTAAATAATCTTAGCAGTAAGACTTGTGAAACCAGGCTCTTGTACCATAGATTTTTCTCAGAACTATTTTTGGCTGAGTTATTATATGGCTCCCAGTACTCATCTCAGAGCCTCTGATTAACTGACACTTAATAGATAACTTTGATGGATAATTTCTAAAGATATGACTCATCAGACTTCTCTTCTAAAGATTATTCTAGTTTATGTAATTTCATTAATCCTTCTTTGATTTTCCCCTCTCACCCAAAACACTCTTTTATGCTGCAGTTCAGTGTTGACAAACAGATCACAATCAGCAGAATTTCCATTTTCTGGATTCAGCTGCACACTGCAGCCATTGGCCCATGCCCAAAAATATTTGCAGAATGGTAAGTTAATAAATGTAACTTACTTTTTGTATTCAAAGTAGTGTTCAGCAATTTTTTCATCCCAGACAATTTTTGGCTTGTGTTCCTTCAAGGTTTCAATGTACCTACAAATTAAAAACATAATAAGGAATTAACTTTTCTAAGAAGCAGTTATGGAATTACATTGCAGAAATTTCTGAAAGGGCAATTTTACCATGTTTAGATGTTGAACATGATATAAAATATCTTCTTGTTGACAACTAATTTCCTTAACCACTTTACAATTTCATGTTCACATTTTTAGGCTATTTTTTTTCTAAAGCATTGCATATAAATATCTGAAGGGAGAGTGTCAGGAGGTGATATGGATATCCTCAACAGCAACAAGGTGGTGCCAAGCAATAGGACAAGAGGCAATGGGCAGAAACTGATGCACAGAAACTTCCACCTGAATATGAGCAAACACTTTACTATGTGGGTGACCAATCACTAGAACAGATTGCCCAGAGAGGCTGTGAAGTCTCCTTCCCTGGAGATATTCAAAAGGTATCAGGGCACCATCCTCAGTAATATGGTCCCTGGAGCAGGGAACTTGGGCCAGATGGCCTTCAGTGGCCTCTTTTTCATTCTCTGATTGTGTGTGACTCTGTGAATGAATTAATGTTCATCGAGTAACAAATCTGCAAGGACACTTGAAGGCACTGTTTTAATATTTCTACAGTCTAAAATCCATATGCCAAAGCACAGGAACTGAAGTCATTCCTAGGCTGCATACAGCTGTGTCCTCCACTATGAGGCTTATGTCATCAGGAAAGTTCTTCTAGAAAAGGGGCTTAGCTAATCTTCTAAAACTGGAATTGTCAAGGAAAGTTCACTGATAAGTAATTCTGCATATGAATTTTCCCCATCACTGGCTTCTTCGTATTATTTTCTTGCATGGACATTTTGAACATGGCATGACCTATCTCCCCTGACACAAAGTGAGGATAGAGTACTACTTGGACCCAAAACTCTGCAAGGGGTACGGGGGTGCAAGAGCTGGTATGCTGTAAATTTATAGCTCAAATATTCTCTCAGTGCAGAGGCAGTGTCTGCATTTCTGACTGCAAAACAGAAACAGCTGCTGGCTGCCACATGTCAGAAGACCAGAAGATGGCAAGCTACTGCCAGTGATAGAGGCCACACAGGTGTCACACAAAACCAAGTCTCATTCCCCTGTCTCTTCTGCATTATTTTAACCTGCATCTTTGGCCATCTCTTTTTGAAAGGTCTATCAAAGCCATCTCCCACTACAGCTGGTCTCATTCTTGGAATAATTTCTCTTCTTATTATAGGATTTGGATGAACACATTTCCTTGTAATCATCCTATTTCTTATTAAAAAATTTCCATCAGCTGTGAAGAGTTGGGAAGAGGTGTGTCAGCAAACCACATCTGTTTCCCATGGGTTTTCTATTGCCCGAACTTGGGAATAACCTGTTCCCTTCTTGTAGCCATGAGTTTTTCCTTTACTTGATTCCTTTTCTTTCAGTAAAACAAAGAAGGCAAGAACTCCAAGATATGCCATATTATCCTATTATCTCTGTAGAATCCTACCATATGCATCATAAGTGGAAAGATTCCTGTGTAAAACTGCAGCAGCTCTATCACAACACACTTGCTTGACTCAAACTAATGCTCACCAGGCACTCCTAATACATTATCTCTTAGCTGGGGCAGTACTTGACTCAACAAATATTTGACATGCACTGGTTAAAATAAATGAATAAATAAATGAATAAAAAGAAAACCAAAATTTGCCATCACACTGAACAAGAAAAGGGATAGCAGAATTCTAGATAAATTTTCGGGTTCTCAAAAAGGAAAAAGAAAGAGGCAAGAAGCTCACCACAGCCAGTTTTCCTTTTTTTCACCCCTCATTTCACTCTATACCTTTCACCTTGTATTTATTGCTAGTTTTTCATCCTCTCTTTTTAATTTATCCCTCTTTCTACTGCCTCTGTGCCAGTTCACTTCTGCTTTTATACTGCTATCCAGACTAATTCCTCATCCATCAGCTCCTAACTTACTACCTTTCTTCTTTTACCAAGCTGCCTCAGCAGTTAAGAGAATGAATAACACTGAAAACTCAGTTTCACAGCCTTGCACTACATATTTCCTGGGAAGTTTGTGACCATTTGCAGAGCAAGTCATGTTGTTTCTATGGTGCTAGCTTGAAACAAGGTCAGCATGGTTGAAGTATCTGGATTATTGATGCCAGCCTCTACTGAAGCACCAATGCAACATATAGAAATGATAGATCTGCATGGATCATCAGGAATAGTAACAAAAGGCCAGTGTCACCTGCATGTCCACCTTGCACATACATGTTCTGACATGGACAAGTGCCATTCTGGCTCATTTAAATGGCCATGCCTCTGTCAAAATGGGCACTTCCTGGTATTCAGAGAAGAATTATTATTTGTGTGACAGATACTCCTGGTTGCAAACACTCTGGGTTAAAACAAACATTCCCTTCTGCAAAGTAAAGGAGAAGACAAAACATACATATTATGGAGTTGCTGTAAAGACTGTCCTGCTGAAGACAGCCCTATGAACAACCCTAATGTGGCTACATCTACACAGCATTGCACTTTACTTTATTCAGTGAATAAATAAAGGAACCAGATTAAAGGTTCTCAGGATTTATGCCTGGTGTTCCTTTTCTTAGATGCTTTTCTTCCAAAACATGAAAAATGGCTCGGCCCTGGAGTATGTTAAGGTAAGACCCACAATCTTTAGTCCCCCTGAAGAAGGTATTTATCTTCATGGATAATGTTTTTTTTTCACTGACAATATAAAGAAACCAGTCTCTAGTATATCTTTTGCAACAAAAAATTTACATTCTAGGAAGAGATAGCTTTGTATTTAATTCTTAGACTAGGCTTTATTTATGAAGTTAAACTTTTTAATCTTTGGGTGTTTTGCTTTACTAGTCCTGAATTACTCTTCAACCAAAAAACTTTAGTGAAAAGGAAACCACTACTGAGCATACATTGCATTTTAATGCTCTTTTCTAACACTTTATATTTTCTCCCCAGTTCTCACATGAACAAAACTCTATTAGAAGCAACAGATCTCTAATCAGGATGAAGGACCATTTTCTTCTGCTACAGAAAATTGTGTTTCCACTTCCACTGTATCAAATCTGAGAGATTCAGTCAAATAACAAATACTGCTCACCCTGAAAATCTATGCCACACATTTTCTTTTCCGTTTTCTTCAGCTACAATAGGCTTAGTTATTAAAATGTAAACCTACCAGGAATTGTATCTCCATAACTATCAATAGTGCCTATGCAAGGCAAGTTTTAGACTCAGCTGGACAGGGCCCATCTTCCCCCTTTGTAGGGAGCTGAATCTCTTAATAAAAGTAAAAGAAGTCACACAAAAGACTGTATTCTAGAGCTCAAGAGTTCCAATTTCTGATGCAAAACAAATAGACAGAAATAGCTCCAAATTAGTTTTCACAGGAGTACACCTAATAACATTCTCAGAACTTCTAAAAAAGTACCAGTCCATTTCCCCACTGCTTTTCCCCATTCTGTGACTGGGAAGATTCCCATCTTCAAAACAAGGTTTTTCAGAGGGGTTGTATATATAACCTGTAAGTCAAACCCCCTTTTATTTAATGTTTAATTTTAGCTACCATGACACTTAACATTTAAGGTTTATCTTAAATTACTACTTTTAGGTGAGACAAAATGTCAAGAAACAATACAATCTGGAGACATTTTATAAAAAAGGTTTTAAAAGTGGGAATTTTTTGGCCTTCTCTGCTTCTTAGAAGATAATTTCTAAAAAACAAATGCAAACATTTGGAATATCCTATAAGCTACTGAATGATTTAGTCATGAAACTAACAGTTTTGATAAAAGATGCTTTCAATGGTACTAAATAAAACACAAAAGGAAAAAATTTGAAAAAGAAAAGAGATTTTATACAGATTTTGAGTTCTCAATCACTCAGTCCCTAAAGTTTGCAGCTTGCAAAAGGCAGAGATGCCCTGCAATTTAACCATCTCTATCTATTAGCCTTTAAAATAGTTTTGAAAGCATGGATAGATTTATAAAAAACCTAGGAGAGTCATTAACAGCATAATGTTATTTGGGTGTGTGTGTGTATATGTATATATATATAGCATTACACAGTGCAGTAAAAAATGTCAAGAACAGACTGAACAATTAGCTTTCACCACACTGGTTCTATCAGGATAACTTAAAAACCTTTTTACTCATCTCCTCTCTCCACTCAGTAACACCATATTTACAATTTATATGCTTCCAACTTTAAAAGGTGGTAATGTTTCATAGCACTGTATCCCTTGCTTGCACATTAAAGAATTCAGATTTTATTAACACAAATCCCACTAAATTATTTCAAATGCAAACAGGTTATGCAGGAAAAAGACAGCTACTATGTATGTTCTAGAGAATCAAAAGTATGAACTAACATTGAAATAATTTTTACTCTGAAGATTTATGCATCTGAGAGGAGTGGAGAGCACACTATAAGCCTATCTATGGAGTATATTATTCAAAAATAATTCTGTTAAGTCTTTAGATTATTCAATGTAAAAGAGCTTCTAAACAGAGTTTGAAGAGAGAAATCCATCAGTTAGCTGATAAAATATCCAAGCAGCAGCCTAGAAATGAAAATCTATAATCAAGCATCATCTTTCTCTAGTAATCTCTCTTTTGCTGCCTGAACCTTGCTCTGTCAATTTAAAAAGTCAATAAAACTATTTTTACTATTTTAATAGTAACAGGTTTCCAACATAGTAATTTTTCTGGGTGTATTGCTTTCAGTAAGTTTTATAAAATCATTCTCACTGATTTCTTTACAATACTTTGTTAGTGACTTGATAGATGACACTTTTCAGCACTTCCACACCAACCTCACACAAACCCACTGACCTTGTACCTTCTGCCATGATGCACCAGCCCAATGAAAACAAGCAGAACCTCAGTGACATTTCTATCATTACTCTGGGCTCTTCAAAAGAGCATCTTGTTCAGCATTCCCAAAGTAATTTGGAAATAATAATACTTTGCTGGACACAACTGCAGAGAGACAGAAAATTATTCC